GAGCAAAAAACCAGAGAGACACAAACTCACCCTTTTTAAATGGCCTTAATCCCCCACTGTGACAACTAAGCCCTCATGGCCTAATCACCTCTCTAAGATCCTACCTCTTAATACTGTTACAATGGCAATTTAATTTCAACATGAGCTTTGGAGGGGACAAACATTCAAACCATAGCAGTAGGTACATAACTGTCAGCATATAATCAATTTAAATGACTTGCCCACTACATGGAATAGAACATACACCCCGGGCCATGTTAGCTGTGTTCCAATTAACTGTGCTGATGTTTCTGAAGGTAAATGGCTTAGAATGTGTAGTCAGTTAAATAGTTTCTTTCCAAATTCATGTCTACCTGGAATCTCAGAATGTGCACTTATTTAGAAATAGGGTTGTTGCAGATGTCATTGGTTAAGATGAGTAATGCATCTACAAACCAAAGAACACCAAGCCATCACCAGAAGTAAGGAGAGAGGCACAGAATAGATTCTCCCTCAGAGCTTCCAGAAGAAACCAATATTGCTGACACCTTGATTTCAAACTTCTAGCCTTCAGGATTGTGAGATAATAAATTCCTATTGTGTTAAACCACCCAGTTTGTGGTTCCTTGATATAATAGCCCTAGCAAATTAATATAAAAGGTAAGTATGATGCTTAAAAAAGCGTCAATTATAGGATTCAATGTAGTGTAGCTATGGCATCTGTCACCAGGTTAATTGCCAGAATTGACTGACTGCTCTGGCATCCTCCTAGTCCAGAGTTCCCTTCTTCTGAGAGCTCCATGTGTGTTCTTCCCAAAGTGTCAACTCAATCAAAAAGAATGACATTTCCAATCTGACAGTCTATTTTTAGTCAAGGTATGTGGGGAGCTGTACTCCCTGGCTAGAGCTTTCCAATAAGCACTGAAATCCCTTTGCAAGCAAATGTAGGTTAGCCAAATCTGTTTTACAAAGCGCCCCTCTCCACCTATGATTTTGTTAGAATATCAGTCAAATCATAGCTCCATATCAGTTTCACCAAAAGCATGTAAATTTATAAGATTAAACTTATATAAGACTCGACCTTGATGAAGTCCTAGTCATTTCAAAGGCAAGACTTTATATTTTCTTTGATATTACATCAGAGCAGGTACTCTTTCTAATTTATCATAGTAGAAGCTGAAAAACAATTACATTTCTTTTACTTTTTTTTTTTTTTTGGAGGGGGGGCGGGGAAGGAGTCTCACTCTGTCACCAGGCTGGAGTGCAGTGGTGCGATCTCGGCTCACTGCAACCTCCACCTTCTGGGTTCAAGCCATTCTCCTGTCTCAGCCTTCCACGTAGCTGGAATTACAGGCGCTCACCACCATGCCTGGCTATTTTTTGTATTTTTAGTACAGACAGGGTTTTATCATGTTGGCCAGGATGATCTCAATCTCCTCAATCTCCTGACCTCGTGATCCGCCAGCCTCAGCCTTCCCAAGTGCTGAGATTACAGGTGTGAGCCACCGTGCCCAGCCTACTTTCTTATTGAAATATTATTTATACCATAAAGCAAGACTCTGAATGTTCAGGTAAAACTTCATGTTGTAAGGAATTTTAAACTTTCCCTCTGGAAGTTCTATAATTGAGTCTGCTGAAATAAGTTGACAATAAACAAATTAACAGGAGAAGGCATACAAATTTATTAATATGCACATGTGCACAAGAGGCACACAAAATGTAAGACTCAAGGAAGAGCCAGATGGTTGAAGTTTAAATACCCTCTTCATAGGAGAGAGGGAAGTGGGGGGTGTGGGCAATTTGAGAGAAACAGTAAATGATTTTTAGGGAAAATTAATGGTTCCAAAGGACAGATAGTAGCCTGGGACAAAGTTTTTCTGTGCTCTAAGGAAGGTGGCAGCAAATTACAGGAAGGAGAGGGGCAGAACTGCACTCTGAAGAAAGGTTGGCCTATTATATAAATAAAGTATCTGAGGTTAAAAAAAAGTTTCAAGCCGGGCTTGGTGGCTCACGCCTGTAATCCCAGCACTTTGGGAGGCTGAGGTGGGCAGATCACGAGGTCAGGAGATCGAGACCACCCTGGCTAACACAGTGAAACCCCATCTCTACTAAAAAATATATAAAATTAGCTGGGCATGGTGGCAGGCGCCTGTAGTTTCAGCTACTCAGGAGGCTGAGGCAGGAGAATGGCGTGAACCTGGGAGGCAGAGCTTACAGTGAGCCAAGATTGTGCCACTTCACTCCAGCCTGGGCAACAGAGCAAGACTCCATCTCTAAAAAAAAAAAAAAAAATGTTTTTGAGCAGCCTCCAGAAGAATAAGAATAGCCTGTCTGGGCATGGTGATGACTTTTAATCTTCACTCGTGACTAATCTTGACTGGTGGTTTGATGTAATTCCTAGGGAGAGAGTTTAAGACAGTTGCATTTCTTTTAGAAGAACTTCCCTCAGCCAAATATGGAAACTTTAGAGAAAACTCGTCTCTGCACATTGGAAGGGAAGATGGGGAGCAGCAGGTCTGAGAGAGAGAGACCTTGGTTCTGAAGTTTATTTCTGAGACCTTTCCATCTCTTTTGTTCAAAGCACTCAGCATGCCAAAGCATCATATTTTGGGATATTTGTTTTCTAAGCCCCAACATTGTCTATGGAGAGGACCCTTGAAAATTAATCATACCCATAGGAAATTCATCAAATGTAGACCTAGTCCATTTCTCTCTATATCAAAAAGAAATCTTGACATTAAAAAAACATTTTTTATAGCTTCAATGTTATACTGTAAAACAAAATGAAAACTATTCATTTTAATCTGTACAGAAATAGAAAACCAGTTATCTAAGTAAATTGCTTAGGGGATAAATTCTGATCCCAGGTCAGCCTTTGAAACATCCAATGAACTTGGCTATGCATAATCTAATAGGCATTGAGAAGGATGTCTTTAGTGTACGGGGATGACATCAAATTTATAGAAACATTTCAGTTAGACATCAAGTGGGCAACTCTTGATGATTTCACTGAAGAAGAACTAATTGCTGCTAATTAGAAGCTACCGTTTTTATGTCTCAACTAGTCTTTGAAAAGGGATTACCAGTGATATTATTTATTGAGTTATTTTAATATCCATTTTGTGAAGATATTAGTATTTGTCATATTCAGAAAAATTCTATAAGAAACATAGATGAAATATTCTGTAAAACACTGAAATAAAATCTTTTAAGGAATATATTTTCAGACCAGGGGCAGTGGCTCATGCCTGTAATCCCAGCACTTTGGGAGGCCAAGGCAGGCCGATCACTTGGGTCTAGGAGTTTAAGACCAGTGTGGGCAACATGCTGAGACCCCATCTCTATTCTTTTTTAAAAAATTTTTTTTAAAAAGAGGGCCTGGCACAGTGGCCCACACCTGTAACCCCAACACTTTAGGAGGCCGAGGCAGGCAGATCACCTGAGGTCAGGAGTTCAAGACCAGCCTGGCCAACATTGCAAAACCCTGTCTCTACTAAAAATACAAAAATAATAATAATAAATAAAAAATTAGCTGGGCATGGTCGCAGGCACCTGTAATCCCAGCTACTCGGGAGGCTGAGGCAGGAGAATCGCTTGAACCCAGAAGGCAGTTGCAGTGAGCCAAGATCATGCCATTGCACTCCAGCCTGGACAACAAGAGAGAAACTCTGTCTCAAAAAAAAAAAATTAATAATAATAATAAATAAAAAGAGAATAAAGAGAAAGGAAGGAAGGAAGGAAGAAAGAAAGAGAGAAAGAAAAAGAAAGAAAGAAAGAATTTTCAGCAAATAAAATAACTCTCAACACAATAGGTTCTGCAGCCTCTTTACAAGCTGGCTCTAGAAACAGAAGAATCCCTGAAATGGGTCTAGTAAGGGAAAAGAGAAGCAGGAATTATCAGTACAAAGCTGCAGCAAAAGAATGGGGAGTTTTCATGTGTTAACTTTTCTATTTTCTCTTTCTCTCTTCCCTTCCTCCTTTGCCCTCCAATGTCCCATGCCATTAGAGCACCATACTTAACTTTCTTTTTTGATCATCTATCCCCTTCAGGAATCTGATTAAAGTTATACATTTTCTCTTCAGAAGATGATGCATATACTCATACAATTATGAACACTATTCTAGGAGTATTCATGGATTCTCTGCATTTAGGGATGGACCCAATACACTCCTCTTCCCTCATTGTGAGCCTCTGCCTCAACCTCTTACCATATCTTTCAATAAAAGAACCTGATAAACTCATTCATACCCAAATACAATAAGGCTTAATATTTGGCCATCCTCTCATAGAAGAGAATTATAATTGAAGTGACATCATCTGTAATTGAAGGATATAAGCATGACTGTACTATGTGGGAGCAGCCTTTACCCCCTAATGACTCCTTCCTTAAGACCGAAAATCAAACCCTCATATGAGTTTAACTTGATTTTGGGTGCCTACTCTTGAACTCAATTCAGAGTATATAGAATTGAATTCATCTTTCCCCCAGAAAATTAATTCCACTTCCTTTTTTTTTTTTTTTTTTTAATTGAGACAGTCTCCCTCTTTTGCCTAGACTGGAGTGTGACCTCAGCTCACTGCAACCTCTACCTCCTGGGTTCAAGCGATTCCCCTGCCTCAGCCTCCTGAGAAGCTGGGGATCACAGGTGCCCACCACCACTCCTGGCTAATTTTTGTATTTTTAGTAGAGACAGGGTTTCATCCTGTTGGCCAGGCTGGTCGTGAACTTCTGACCTCAAGCGAGGCACCCGCTTCAGCCTCCCAAAGTGCTGGGATTACAAGTGTGAGCCACCGCTCCTGATCTAATTCCACTTTCATTGCCTTCATAATCCAGATTCAGAATCTTGAAATTATCTTGATCCTTCACTCTTCTCCTCTCATGCAATCATAAAACACTGTTGTTTTTTCTTTATGTCTTTCACATCCATCCCTTCCTCTATTTATTGGTTTCCTATTGCTGCTGTAACAAATGACTCCAAACTTAGTGGCCTAAAACAACACAAAATTTATTCTCTTACAGATCCTGGAGGCTAGAAGTCTGAAATGAGTCTTATCGGGCTAACATCAACGTATTGACAAGGCTGGCTTCCCTCTGGAGACTCCAGGAGATAATCCACTCCTTGCCTTTTCCAGCTTTTAGAAGCCTCCCATATTTAACAGTTCATGGCTTTATATTACCTTCTCCTAACTTCGACTCTCCTGATTCTTTCGTGTGAAGACCCTCGTGATTACATTGGGTTGACCATGTTAATCCAGGATAGTCTCCTTATCGCAACCTCTTTAATCATATTTGCATTTAAAAAAACATGCACAGGTTCTGGGGATTAGGACACAGATATCTTGGCAGAGGGGGGATGCATTATTCAGCCCACTGTACTCTATAATATCACCTCTTCCTCAACCCTACTTCTGGTCCTTATCTGTACCACTGAACTAGTTCAACGTTTCCTAAACTGGTTTTCCTGACCCCAGCCTCTCTCCCAATTCCCCATCCATTCTACATACCAAAAACAAATATTCATTAAAACTTAGTTATTCGTCCTATTCCCCATACCCATTCCAAGGCCCTGAACCTAGTTTACTTTAGCCTGGCATTGGTCACTCTTTTGTTTGTTTGTTTGTTTGTTTGTTTTTTCAGATGGAGCCTCACTTTATCACCCAGGTGGGAGTGCAGTGACACCATCTCAGCCCACTGCAACCTCTGCCTCCCAGGCTCAAGTAATTCTTCTGCCTCAGCCTCCCAAGTAGCTGGGATTTCAGGCGTGTGCCACCACAACTGGCTAATTTTCATATATATATATATATATATGTATATACACACACACACTTTTTTTTTTTTTTTTTTTTTAGTAGAGACAGGGTTTCACCATGTTGGCCAAGCTGGCCTCGAACTCCTGACTTTAGGGATCCACCCATCTTGGCCTCCCAAAGTGCTGGGATTATAGGCATGAGCCACTGTGCCCAGCCCATTCTTAACAAACTAATCTCCACACTGTCCCACAACCTATATAAACCAACTATTTGTTCAGCTCATACCCCCTTTTGCCTCCAAAATTCTCCCATTATGCTAAAGTTTACATAAGTCCCTCCTCTTCCATGACTTCATCTCAGCAGTTCCGAGTCACAATATTTCTACTTTCTTTTATTTCCTACAGCATTTTTTGTTGGGGTGATGCCTCTAGCATTTATCACATGCTACTGGGTATAGATCCTGTCTCCACTTCTTTCCCACTATATGATCTTAAACAAGTCATTTCCCTTTCCCATGCCTCTTTTTTCTTGTCTATAAAACTGACAATATTTATGCCCTAATTATAGGATTATGATGAGGGTTCAAAGAGATAACAAAGCTTTTAAGATACTTAGCATGTAGTGTTACCTCCTCCTCTTTTTCTTCTTATTTGCTTTCTTTAATATATGACCTAAATCCTTTGTTATATTAAAAATTCCTTGAAGATCCCGACCATTTCTTTTTTCTTTCTTTCTTTTTTTTTTTTTTTTTTTTTTTTTTTTTGGTTGGAGTCTTGCTCTGTTGCCCAGGCTGGAGTGTGGTAGCGTGATCTTAGCTCACTGCAGCTTCCACCCCCCGGATTCAAGCAATTCTCCTGCCTCAGTCTCCCGAGTAGCTGGGACTACAGGCGCTCCCTGCCAAGCCCAGCTAATTTTTGTATTTTTAGTAGAGATGGGATTTCACCATGTTGGCCAGGCTGGTCTTGAACTCCTGACCTCAAGTGATCCACTTGCCTAGGCCTCCTAAAGTGCCAGAATTACAGTCATGAGCAACCATGCTCAGCCAATTACAACTACTTCTTATACATTATGCCACATACATTGGAGGCTCAATAGATACATCTTTATCACTATTGTTGTGGTGATGATAATTATGATAATGTAAAGGGACAATTTGATATTATTTTCACAACACTGATATGGTCCTTGACATTTCTGTTTCTCATTCTTATTACATAAGTGAATACCTCCTTTTCTCTTAAACTGTTTACACTCCTATTAACTGTGTAGAGAGATTCATGCTTAATTCATTGTGGAAACACCTAAAGACAATGCTTAGCAAACAGCTGAGCTTCATCAAATATTGGCTGAAGGAATGAATCTTCTAGTGATATAGAATCTGCCTGTCACATCCCTTCCTTTACCCACGATTGATAATCTGAAAAATGAAGAGATTGTATTTAATGATCTCTAAAGTCATTTGAAGCTCTAGAGTTCACTCTTAATAGAATTCTGTGAATAAGGCCAGAAACTAATTTGACCAAGAAATAACCCTTTCTTACCTTTTGAATTGTTTCCTCAAACAGTACTGTCATTTGATATCACCATTCTATGGTGCCAATTTATAACGTAAATCTGTTTATGGAGACAGAAAAGCAAATTTTTCCACTAATTGCTAAATATAAATTAAGTCAACCACTATTCAGTAGCTATTATTTGCAACTACCTTTGGTATTACAAACCTATTTTTTATATATATATACACACATATATATACACACACACACATATATACACATATATATACATAGTGTAAGATATCTTTTGTTCTCATGCAGAAAAGTTTAGTCAAATATATATGTGGCACTTATATAAAATTCATTTGATTGAAGGTAATATAATAAAATGTGCTTTTAAAGACAAATGTATAATTAAGGTTGAAAATGTGAAAGTGTAGTTAATATGGTCTTTGGCCAGAAATAGCTAAGTCCCTGTTCTACGTCAGTAACTTCTCCCCTTAAGGTCCACAAGGAAAATACATGCACAGAGAATTAAGCAAATAAAAAAACACTTGCTATTAGATAAGGCTTTAATGCCAAACCTCAATGTGGTACTTGGGGTACTTGTTTGGAACTTGGATAAGAAGTACCTTTGCCTAAACCTCATTAGTCTAAAGGAACTTGAACCAAAACAGAGGCCTATTTTCTCTACATCTGCCCCATAGCTCAAATCCACGACTTAGATCTTGCTATTTTAATGTCCACTACAGTTGTATCCCCTACCACAAGACTCTACTCAAAGCATGGCCTCAATAGTGTCCTTTAACTCTACCAATCTGTAGCCGCAGCTCCTCCTCCTTAGAGGAGAGAAGAAATTGCCATGGCCAAAAACTGGGGAGAGAAAAGATAAATTCCTCCCTTATAGCATATAGCAAAATAAATTCCAGATAAATTTGAGAAATAACAACAAAAGTTTCAGAAAAAAACTGAGTAAGTACAAAATTTTGTGGAGGGGAAGGAGTCTGTAAGCATGATACCATGAAACAAAATGGAAAAGATTAGCGGGCTTTATTATATGAAACTTAAAGCAGAAAATTAAACTCTATAAAAAGGTTAAAAGGCAACATCCAACTGGGAAAATATCTGTACTAAGAGAATTTTAAAATAAATTTGAAGAAATGATCCAAAAAAATAGAAGAGACCTTGATTAGGTAACCACTACCACCTCCCCACCCTGACTGACACACACACACACACACACACGCACACACACATTAATGGGGAAACATATCCAGCATTTTCTGGGAATTCTTCCCTGAAAAAACATTTAAGTCAAAACCTTAAGGATATGAGGAGTTGCCAGGTGGGATAAGAGCATCCCTGGGAGAGGGAACAGCATGTGTGAAAGTTCTGAGGCTAGGAAGAGCTTGTCATGTCAAGGCACTGAAAGGACTGCAGGATTGCCAGCATGACTGGAGCAGTGGGCAGAAGGGGTGGCAGGAGGTAAATTTAGAGAAAAGGGCAGGGACATGTCTTGCAGACTCTTCTGGGGACCTTGATTTTATTGGACATTCAATAAGGAGCCACTGGAAGGTTTTATACAGATCACTGGCACCTGGAAAGACGGCACAGGTGGAAGGGGAGCAGTAGTACAATTAGAAAGACCAGTCAGGAGGTTATGGAGGATATTGAAGGAATCTGCGCTAGAATGGTAGCAGCTTGGGTTCAGATGATGGCTGTAGAGATGAAGAGAAGTAGATGGAGTCAAGAGCTAATTTGAAGGTAAAAGAGGAAACAGCTAGGAGTAGAGGGTTGGGAGTGGGAAAATCAAAGAAAAGTCCTAGATTGCTGGCTTGAGCAGCTAGTTAAGGTAGTACTGTCCTTTATTAAGGTCAAAATGATTGAGGAAGGAAAAAGTTAGAATAGAAATCAAGATCATCCTCTAAAAGTATAAGGTACTTGAGGGAGTATCTATGTTTAATTTTGCTTACCACCATCTACCCAGCATCTAGCATACTGCCTAACAAAATAGGCAGTATTTGTTGAATTAATGAATACAGATTGAACCAGGTTTGATGACAGTCCTATAACATCTTAACCACTGAGTTCTTACAACAATAGAGGATTTGGTTAATTGAAATGAAATATGAAATGAATGTGGAATAAAGTTCTAAGATTCCCATTTCAAATTCATGCATCAGTTGGTAGTGATGAGTTAGTATCTTCTACAAATGTGAGCATTCTTTAAAGCAAATGGTGTTTTTACTGAATGTCTAATGTAAAAATATTGCTGATGCTGTACAAGGTACTTCAGGAAGGAAAATGTCCCAAGAACTTCACTATAGATAATGGCTCTTTGTTATTGCTGAAGCTCTTTAATTCTATTATTGTAGAGCATTGACTCTTAAAAGCACTGCAGCCTTGTAGCACTGACTTTTATTTTAGATAGGGGAGCAAAAGAGAGCAAGTGACATCATCTCTGTGTCAGCTGTTGATGCTTGTCAGCTTTGACAGGCTGAGGAGGAGCTCTAGAATGACACTGAGACCAAATCAGTATTCAGCTTTTAAACTCTTAGGGAACATGGTTTTTAGCATAATCACATTAACATGCTATTTGTATATCCCAACTCTACTAGAATATGGATTATTCATTATGTGAAAAGAAAAAATCCTATAGAGGAGGATACAGAAGTGTATCTTCACTGGTATTCTGCCAAAAGATACTTTTCAATAGGTAATTGGCATTTAGTATCTTTACTATTCCAATAAAGGCTTTTCAAAAATTGGCACTCTCATTGAAAATCGGATTTGATAGAGGAGACCTCAAGCTCGGTTAAATATGTCCAGAGCTGAAGCTGTATATCTGTCTACATGAGTTCTAAAATAAACAGTCTATAATAGCCAAGCAAAGTTTTTTTAATATTCTGAAAGTATTAAATATAATTATTAATTCCATATGACCCAGCAATTCTACTCCTGGGTATTTACCCAAAAGAACTGAAAGCAAGGTCTGAAAGAGATCTTTGTAGACCCATGTTCACAGCAGCATTATTCACAATAGCCAAAAGGTGGAAGCAACTTGTGTCCATCAGTTGTTGAATGGATAAACAAAAGGTGGTATATGCATACAATGGAATATTATTCGGCCTTCGAAAGGTAGTATCAGACACACGCTACCACATGGATGAACCTTGAGGACATTATGCTAAAGCATAATAAAAGTCACAAAAAGATAAATATTGTATGATTCCACTACTATAACATACCTAAAGCAGTCAAATTTATGAAGACAGAAAGTAGAATGATTATCAGGGCCTGGAGGAGGAGGAAATAGAGAGTGGTTGTTTAATGAGCACAGAGTTTCCATTTTGCAGGTGAAAGAATTCTGGAGATAGATGGTGGTGATGTTTGCACAACAATATGAGTGCACTTAATGCCATTTAACTGTATACTTTAAAATGGTTAA